CCCAAAAGAGCATTTCCTAGACGCCCGCCGGCTTCCCCTCGGCTCCCCGGGACCTCACCGGCGCCCGCGGCAGAGGTAAGGCTGGTGGCATAGGATGCTCAGTTGAAGGGCAGTTGTTAAAGACCCAAAAGGGTTTTGGCTCGGGGTTAATGGCCCTCCCCAGCTGCTTGCACTGGGGTGTCTTTTTGCTACGAAGGCATTCCCATGGATAAAGTACCAGGACCCTCTCCAGGGCGTTCGTGATTTCAACTTGTCCAACGCCTTTCGAACAACCCTGATGTGTGCCAAGGCAGCTGAGAAGGATTTTGGCTGCCCTGGTGCCAGGGGGATCTCAGAGATCCCTATTCCCTGTGTCTCTGTAGGGGACAGGAGGGATGTGATGCCCGTGGGGGGCCCAGGCCAGCCTGGCCCTGGCTCACTGGCTGTCAGTGGGGTGGGTTAGAGGTGGGATGCTCCTGTGCATCGTCTGACCCAGCCAAGCGGGAAGGGAGCAGCGATGTGACCCACACTGGAGCAAACACTGGGAAACGAGAGCTCCATGTCTGGGTAGCCTGGAGGAAAGCAGAGACTGTGAACCGTGGAGGATTAACTCAGTCCCAGCGGTGTGACCAGCCATCCTTGAGCCAATGGAGAGGGGGATTTTAAGGAGTGGAAGGGATATCTGGAGTATTTAATCCACAGCAAATGATGGGAGATTTTTTTTTTTTGGTCAATAATATGTACAATGTTTCCTCTTTAACTCTGTATGTCTGCTGGGTTCTCCTAATTCTTTCATAACAAGATCTCAAAGCTTTAATGGAAAGGTTTGTTTGTTCCTGTGCAGAGGATGGATAAGTACTTCCTAGAACCACTTTCTGGTGTAACATTAGTTTTTCTTGTGTAGTCTCTTAACAGTCCTGGATTTTTGCTGCTCCTCAGCAAATACTCTGTGGGATCTAGCGATGCATAAGAGAGGAGGTGAAAGGAAATGTAGAAATAAGCTTTCAAAAACACGTGTTTGCACCATCATGGCCAGGAGAGAGTCTCCACTTTTGTGTCATGAGAGGACCACATGAAGTCTTGGGTGCTCAGATGCCACAGAAATGATTTGGCCAAACTCTGGAGGTAGCAGACCACGCTGAGCCTGGGGGAAAAGTAAGGCCAGGAATTGTTATTTAACAGGGAGCAGAGAGTGAGGGGATGGTGCTGGAGGGGTGTGCTTAGGGCCAAGCCCCAGATGCATCAGAGGGAAGGGAACGGCGATGGCAGAAGCAGGTGGTGAACCTGAGGCAAATGGGGCTGAGTTCTGACTTCATTTGTCTCCAAAAAGCACCTTCTGAGTCATTGCTCAAAAGTGAGATTTGACAACCCCCCGGGAGCCACGGGTATGCAGCGGCACCTGTCCTGTAATGCGCCTCTCCCGTGCTTGTGGATTCCAGTCCTGGATTCAGCATCTTGAAAAAGCAATCCTGAAGCCTGTCCTGCCCATCCTGGGTAATAAATGCCTGACAGATGTAGCCAGGACCAGTTGTTCCCAGAGGGCCGGCAGGAGGAGAAGTGAAGCGGTGCTGCTCTGGGAACAGGTGGTTTGGCACCTGGAAGTTATTTCTGGAGCTGCCTTGAGTTCTCCCGCTACATCTCAGCTTTGCCGAGGTCTGGCATGAACGCGAGTGGTTGACAGGGTGTGCAGGGGCTTGGGCTGATACTCAGGGCTGCTCCGGGATGCCCAGGGTTGGGGCTGATCACGGGGCTGGTCTGTGCAGACCTTGCGGTG